ATAATAATAATAATAATAATTATAGTAGTCTGGGGGGTGTTTGCTTTTGATTGGCCACGAGGAGAGGGGTATGGAGATGCAACCGCAGTACTGCGGTCTATGAGACCTGAAGCGCTACTGCCAGAGTGGGCATGGAAGTTCAGAGGGAGCCGGCCTTCCACCCACTGATTATAGGGAAGATTTGGGGGGAGAAGGCCGATCAGTTTACAGCAAAGGGCCCCTACTCTAGTATCACTCATTAATTATAGGGATTTTTTTATATGCAGACCTCAGCCATGGTGTCCTATAAGGATATCTTTCAGACCCGTGATATCTCCATAAAGAGGACCTGTCACACCCTATCTGCTATTACAGCCTCCTATGTGATAGCAATAAGGTTAGTGTAGAAAAAAATAAATAATAAAGTGTTTAAAAACTAAAAAAAGTAAAGTAACATACGGTATGAAAAAAATTAAAAAATGCAAATTATTTTTTTAAAGTCCCCCGCCCCCCACATGCACGCACATACACACGTCGGTGCGCCTAAATGTGAAAACGAAAATTGAGCTACACATGTTACATATTGCCGCGAACATCAGAGTGAGAGCAATAATTCTAGAGCCATTAATCACTTTTAGCACTAAACTGATGAGCAGTAAATGCATTTAAAGTGTCCCCGATGGGAAATTTTGGGTATTGACGTTTTTTGCGGCTTCACGGGCGAATGCAATTTTAAGGCTTGACATGTTTGGTATCTATTTACCCCGACGTGACCCGGTCTTTTATATTTTATTGTTATTCTACAGGGCCTCTGCTTTCAGAAAAGATATCATTGTTTGGGGGTCTGAAGCTGTTTTTTAGCCAAAAAGTTATATTTTATCATGTGTGCGCAAATGTAAGAAATTGCTCCGGGCAGCAAGGGGTTAAAGACCATCTTCATAGGAACAGGAATCTATCCCTGGAGGACCTTAAGAGGTTAAATGACCAACAGGGACTCTTCAGATGTATTATGGGAGATAAGATTTAGGAATATTTTGGAGGGCCCCTGTGGCATTTCGTGGTGTCTCTATGCGGAGACGAGCCTCTCGCTGTTCCATACCCTCCTGTGTGTCTGTAACATAAGCTGGCAGCTCCGCTTAGACTTGTGGAGGAAAGCCCCAGAAATTACCTCTGCAATTGCTTGTTACTGTGACTGAAAGTGACACGGCCCTCGGATATTTTGCTCAGTGAACTGAAAGTGCGAACGCAGCAAGAATCGTTACTGCCAGAGGAAACAATGTCTAATATCGAGCACGCTCAATTCTTTTCATATCTAAATACGTCACTGCAAAGGAAATTCTAAGCAGACGCCGAGCTGTGCTTCAGTATAGAGAGATAGAAATGATTCCTATGGCCGGGCTTACTTAATGTAGATGTAAACCCCAAATGGACCTGTGTCAAGGGGTTCTGGGCTGTGTTTAAGCTGAATTTGGGGGCTTTCATTTAAATATATTACTTAATGGGCAAAATGGATTAAATCCACTTTTGGTGCAGAGACAAGACCGGTCACCCTGCACAAGGAGAGAGAGGAGCAGTGACCGGTATTTATTACAGGAGGGGGCGGAGAGAAGACTAGTCACCCTGTACAAGGAGATAGAGCAGCAGTGACCGGTCTTTATTACAGGAGGGGACGGAGACAAGACTAGTCACCCTGCACAAGGAGAGAGAGGAGCAGTGACCGGTATTTATTACAGGAGGGGGCGGAGAGAAGACTAGTCACCCTGTACAAGGAGATAGAGCAGCAGTGACCGGTCTTTATTACAGGAGGGGACGGAGACAAGACTAGTCACCCTGCACAAGGAGAGAGAGGAGCAGTGACCGGTCTTCATTACAGGATAGGGTGGAGACCAGATCAGTCACCCTGCACAAGGAGAGAGAGCAACAGTGAGCTGTCTTTATAATAGGAGGGGGCAGAGACGAGACCAGTCACCCTGCACAGGGAGAAAGAGCAGCAGTGAGCGGTCTTTATTACAGGAGGGGGTGGGGACAAGACCAGTCACCCTGCACAAGGAGAGAGAGAAGCAGTGACCGGTCTTTATTATAGGAAGCTCCTGCACAAAGCCAAAGATTCCCTCCAAAATGCAAAAGTCCCAGAATCAAAGTCAGCTGCACACTTGATGATGTCACTTGTATAAAACTAACTTTATTTAGTCTCATCATGTGCCGCACACACACCCATGGCCTGACCCTCTAATGTGTTTCGCTCAACATGGGCTAAACCGTAGCGGCTCCACTGTTGATTTTTTTTAAAGATGACACCATCGTTGTGCAGCTGATGCAAGGAGCCAAAGGAGCTGTGTTCCCATAGAAGCCAATGGCTGTATGTACCGGGGTATAGCCGTGTATGGTACAGACACAGAAAGCTTGCGTCCAGGAATTTATGTCTGTATGCACACGCAGCTGTATTGGAGTATACCCCTGTAAAGCCATTGACTTCCATGC